GGGGGGGGGAGGGAGGGAGGTCACAAGTTTCTCCGGGGGCAAGGTTTACACACTCGCGCAGCTGGACGGTAAGTTGACGTCGGCGTTGTTCTTGCCTGCTCGCCCGTTTCAATGAGGCGAACCCCCCGCTCTGCTCGTGTGAAGTGGCGGACGGGGGGTGGCATTGCGTGGCGTGGCTCGGCGTGGTGGGGGCGGGGGCGGCACGGATTATGAGGCTTGAATAGCGCCCATCAGAGCAGATAGTAAGACGAGATCTGGCCGTCCCAAGGCGGGCTGTTCGCCTCTGCTTTTGGCCTCGCGGCCTGACGGCCTCGCGCGCTTCTTAATCACACACACACACACACGTGCGCGTAAAGAAAGGTTCTTTTTTTAACAGCTAAATGTACTGAAGTGTTTGACCGAAAAAAAAATTCAACACTTACTGCGCTCTTTATCCAAGCTGCAAAAAAATCTAATGAGGCAAAAGGTAAGAGAGGATTCAGTCCCAAGGATTTATTCAATGACGTCAATATGGTGGTCAAAGTCAAAATATACTTATTTGGTGGCCTGCTTGGATGTACATCCTAGGACTAGGAATTTGTGAAAATGCCATCATCAAAATGATATCAAAATGACGTCATCTTGATATCATTTTGATGGCATTTTCACAAATTCCTCGTCGACTGAGCGGGGACGAATGGAAAGAGAAGGAAAGGAAAGAGAAGGAAAGGAAAGAGAAGGAAAGGAAAGGAAAGAAAAGGAAAGGATAGGACAGGAAAGAACAGGAAAGGCATGGGAAGGAAAGGAAAGGGGGTCGGAGCGCGCGTTGTGATGAAGGCGTGAGTGCACAAGGCGGAAATTGTTTCCTCTCCGCATTAGTGCTGATGAAGAGGTCATAACGTCGCCATAGAGCTGCTATCAATCAGATCCGCTGGCTTTGCCTCCGCGCCCCGGGCCTCGCCCGCCCCGCCCCGCCGCACCACTGCCCTGCCAAGGGCTGTATTGCTCGTGTGCACCCCGCCGAGGCCAAGCTCCGTCCAAAAGCGTGTGAGAGGGTGTGGCAGTTTTTGACGTTGACGTTGTCCATGGCCGATTCGTAGCAAAACGGTACAACAGGGCCGCCGTTTCAACCGAAAACAAAAAGTATGCCGCATACCGCATATATGTGCATACTGTCGAACGTAAATGTTAGCAATATCAAACAAATGTATGCAACTCGCTGTCGGAGGTGTGTCAGTTATGTGGAATACCTATAGCTACGAAGAATGGATATAGCTATTCTACATAGCTATAGCTATTCTACATAGTTACAGCTACGAAGAATAGCTATAGCCGCGAAGAATAGCTATAACTATGCAGAATACACTGTAAATTCAGGGTGTCCAGGAGGAAGGCGACAAAGTTGCATGGGAACGTGGAATGCCTATGGACTCATACAATGCAAATACCCGGAGGACCAGAAGGTGTGCAGATGATAGTCGACATACGTCGCCTAGTTTTGGAAGCTATAGCTATGTAGAATAGTGTAGCATGTAGAATAGCTATAGCTATGTAGAGTAGCTATAGCTATGTAGAATAGCTATAGCTATGTAGAATAGCTATAGCTATGTAGAATAGCTATAGCTATGTAGAATAGCTATAGCTATGTAGAATAGCTATAGCTATAGCTACACTGTAAAAAATCATCTGATACTACGGGACCGTCACGGACATTCCGTTATAGCATACTGCAGAAAAGAGATACGGTAGAACCGTTTAAGTTTGACCATGTAACTAAATTTAGGGTACGGACACGTCCGGAAAATAATTGCCGCTGTCGTCCGTTGATTTTCCGTTGTTTTTTCTTACAGTGTATGTAGAATAGCTATAGCTATGTAGAATAGCTATAGCTATGTAGAATAGCTATAGATATGTAGAATAGCTATAGCTATGTAGAATAGCCATAGCTCTGTAGAATAGCTATAGATATGTAGAATAGCTATAGCTATGTAGAATAGCCATAGCTCTGTAGAATAGCGACAGATATGGTCGTAATGCCGGTTGTGAGTACATTTATCAATAAATGCACGTACAGCAACGTGAAACCGAACTTTAAATACAGCAAGTATCACTGGGTTTATTCCCGAGGATAGCGGTGTAGCACAGGTATTTCCCCGCGATTCCCGTGCTTTATTGGTGGGGTACCAGAAGGAATGGAGCTATCAGTCCCGCATGCCACATCAGCCTGGTGCCAGGCGCGCCCGGTAACTGCCAAGAGTTACTTACAATATAGCTGGAGGAGAGAGGGGAGGGAGGACAAGGCGCGATCCTACGAAGGAAGCAGCGTGGCAAATCTAATCCTACTTTCCGCGACTTCCCCGCCAGTCGCGCCTGAGGAAAGCGGCTCCCGGCCGGCTTGTGAGCGAGCGAGAGGAAAATGTCATTCCCGGTGGTACTGATTTGCGTGGCGAGGAGTTGCGTGGGCGATACGGCAGTGCCGCCACGTCACGTTCCACTGCACCTAACACCTAGAGCTGCGGGGGCGCGGGCACACCAGTGCTGCGCAGTGCAGTGTACAGCGGGATGACCTACAGTGCAGCAGGATAACTTTCCGTGCAGCAGGATAACCTGCAGTGCAGGAAGCCCCTTATGGTTTCAGGAAAAACTCCTCAGGTTATTACGAAGTCTCCTTTTAAAAAAATGATTTTTTTAAAAAATAAAGGGATTTTTTGAGAAGATTCCTCATGATTTGAGGCGAGTAGATTTCCTCAAATATGGGAGTTCCTCCTTTTTTCCTCAAAATATCAGACATTGCTTTTACCGCGTGGAAAGCAGAATGACCTGCAGTGTATAAGGATAAGCTCCAGTGCAGTGCAACAGGATGACCTGAAGTACAGCGAGCAGCAGCATGACCCTGAGTGCAGTATGACCTGCAGCGGTGCAGCAGGCCTGCAGGTCGTTCCTGCTGCACTGCTGCAGGAGGCCAGGGCGGGCCAGGCCGGCCGTGCTGCCGGGTTGCCCTCCCGCTGTGGCGGTGGTGCTGGAGGGAGGTAGAGTTCCTTACCCCCGCGGCACGGCTCGGGCCTGGCCAGGCCCCCGGCGGCGGGCTAAGTGCTCGCGCAATGCTCCCGGCCCCCGACAGCAGAGCCAGCAGCGCCAGCAGCGCCAGCAGCGCCAGCACCCGACATGGCTTGTCGGGAGAGCGATCAGGGCCGGCGGCAGCGGCTGACCGCAGAGCAGGGCGGCGCACAGCGGAGCAGAGCTCTGCGGATAACACGATGGCGCGTTTCGCCGATTACGGTACTGGACGCACACGACCTCAAGACAAAAACCGGCCAGGACGCCGGAGTACAGAAGAGCGGGGTGCGGGTAGTGCGCGACGAGCAGATGCGACGCCGCCACACCCAGAAAATGGTATCCTTGAAATAAAGCCGCGCAAATCGTTGCCTCGACGCTATTTTTACCTCAAGAAAATAGAAGGAAAATTGTCTTTAACTTAAGACAAACTGCGTTAAAAAAAGTAAAAATGTTCTTAATTCAACTACATTTCCTTGAAAGCGACGGAAAAACCTTAAACCAAGGTCAAAACTTACCATTTATTTTTTTTAAGAAATTTCCTCGGTTGTAGGATACTATTTCCTCGGTGCGCTTATTGCGTAACGGGAATGATTGTGTACAATAATCAACGTAACTGACAAAAGGGTCGCGTAGAGTGGAAAGCGAGGTTCACAATTCACACCCAGAAAACCATTCTTCTGATGGGAAAATGAATAGTACATTTACATAGGAATATCCCCAAAGAAACCATTTATAAATGGCTATAGTCATATTTTCGTTTGATTGACAAAAGAGAAACAAATTGCGATGGGCTGAGGGAAACTTTTGCTTTGCTTCGAAGGAAAATTCGTTGGATACGGCGAAGTCATAAGTATATTCCGAGAAAGATGAGTATTTCTGCTCTCTTTGGAATGAAGCCACACTTTTCGCAGCGCTTTATTGTCTGCAAACATCAAAGCTTTGATGACGCTTTGGCGGTGATTTCACATTGTGTTTCACGGAGTGTCACACTCTAATGTCAAACCGTGTGGCTAATGATCATCGTCGGTACCGTACTCAAAGCGTCGGGAAAGGTGTGGTCGTCAGTGCAGAGAGAACAGTAAAAGTGAAGTTCTTCACGACGATGCCGCGGCACTATCAAAAGGTTTGCTGCCACGTGGCGCGACCGGGCGCGACGCTCTCGCTCTCGTCCTGCAGCACACACCGCCGAAGACTTTTCTCCACGCTAAAACCCGCCCTTAGGGCGGCACCGCGGGGACGTGCAAGAGATTGTACCGACCCAGCACTTACTTTAAATTGAACCTACGCCCGAAAGGATCGTCCCCAACTGTCCCATTTCACAACACTCCTCTACACGCTTTTTCGTATTTTAATTTGATCAAAGCAAATACCCTGTAAGCCAGTACCGTGGGGGCTAAATCACTCTATTAAACTCTACGATTCCTTTTAATGCCAAAATGTTGTCATTGCTTTTAAAATTTTAAGATAGTTGTCTTCTGTTGAATTCCAGGACTTT